TGTGTGTGGGTGTGTGTGTGTGTGTGTGTGGGGGGGGGGTGTAGGGGTGGGGGGTGCAGTGGGGAGGTCGAAGGCTGACCCCCTACCCCCAGCAAGAGAATTCAAACTCGGAGCGAGCAGGGAAGGTGAAGGCGCGCCCCTCCCCCGCCCCTGCACGGGAGCCCCGCGCTCCGGGTCTGGTTCCTGGAGCGTCAGCGCCCCCTCTCCTTCGCGAGGAGAACTGTTCTTTCGCGCCACGGTCTCTCGCCTCGCGCTGTGGGCACAGAATTTGGGGCTCAGCTTTCAACTCCAAGGCATTCGTAGGGTCGGATCTACGCGGCGAGAGGGAACGCGGGAGGGTCAAGATGCAGGATTTGGAGACGATTCTCCGCACGCCCAAGCCTGAGGCTGTTTGTGTTGGAGATAGAAGCTTGGGCAACCTCGCCCAGATAACCCCGAAAACAAAGGCTCGGCAAGATACGCGGTTCCGCGGGAGGAAAGGTCGCACTGCCGCAGAACGTCCTAAACCTACGCGGACCCCCAACTCTTTGTACCCCATTTCGGACTCCATTCAGACTTTTAAAAAACCAACATCGTCTTATTGGACTCAACAGTCTGCCTAATCCCATTAAGGGATTAGCAACTACAAGGCACTTTTCCTGAAAGACCCCTGGTTCAAACCCGGCAACCGTTTGGCGCTTTCTTCCGAGGGCCCCATTTCTGGTTGCGCTAGGAGCTTCTGAAGAGGGGACATTCCTCGATTCCAGATTTCTCTGGGGGTATTAACTGAGATGTTCTGTGTTCTTTTCCTTCTTTTCAAAGAAAACACAAAACTATTTGTATATGTAGCGCAGGAAAATAGCCCCCAAATGGGGAGACAAACTGATTCTGGCAATGCTGGGCTGTTTGTATTACAGTTCAATCTGGAGCCTGGCAGACTCAGAGCTCCAGGGAAACTTTTATTTTGAAGAGGCCAGGGGGGGGGGGGGGTGTTTCCTGACAGCTATTTACTTAGAGCAAATGATTAGTTTTAGAAGGATGGACTATAACATTGAATCAATTACAAAACGCGGTTTCTGAGCCCATTACAGCTGGATCTAGAGGGAGGGAAGCAAGAGGGGACTTCGGGAGACGATTGGAAGCTGCGGACGCACTTTTCCCCATGTGTAGGGTTTTCATGGCTGATTGACATAGAAGGTAAGGGAGAGGAAAAAATGATTTTTGTTTCTAAAGGAAGTCCCTGATCAGACCCCGGCGCTGGAAGCATCTAAGTAACTTCAAACCTTGGGCAACGAGGAAAAAAAAAAATGGAGCTGAATTCCAGTTATGTGTCCAGAGAGTAATTTATTCTGAATAAACTTCACTTGGGGGTGGGGGGAAAAGAACCACAGCGTTAGAAAGTCTGAGGGTTAAAAAAAAAAAAAAACACATTTTCCAGACCTATTTTTAAAAGCAGTGTTTTTCTAACAGCTCTATGGCCTCCCAGAGAAATTGTTTAGGTTCACATTTTTGAGGTTTCTTTTTGGAGGTGGGGGTGGTATTCCTGGATGCCGGGACCAACACCAAGGAGCGCTGGGGGTGGAGGCGGAGGTGTTCTCCCTCTCCTTGGCAGTGGGTCCTGGAAGGCGACAGGTTTTTAATGAGTATTTTCATTCCTCTCCTGCGGTTTGGCTGGACAGAGCTGCAGCGGGAGGTGCAGAGCGCGGTTGGGGGCCCCGGAGCGGGACAGACGAGCCCGAGTGGGGCGCGGGAAGGGGCTGCGTGGCGGGGAAGGCGTGAAGGGAACCGATGGAGGAGGCGGCACCTCGGGGCTGGCTGGGCGCGCAGGGTGCCCGCTGAGCGCACGGAATTCCTGGACGGCGCGGCGCCTGGCGCAGAGGGGCGCAGGCTGTTACGAGGGTTTGGGGCGCTCTGGAGCAGTTTTGTTGGGTCAGAGAAGAGCAAGAGAGAACGGGCGCCCGCCCGGCAGTGCGCTCGGGTTGAGCGTCCCAGGGCGGGGGCGACGGCGACGGCGCGGGCGAGCGGTCTGGAGTAATGACAAACACATTTGGCCCCGAGTGAAGAAGTCGTAGTCGCCTCGCATTCCAGCAACTGGGTTTGAGGAATTTCGAACTGCACTCCAAGGGGCCCTCATTGTGCGCGGTGGTCTCCGCCCCCACCCGTCTCCGGGAGCCTCCTTCCGCGGTGGAATCTTTGCAGCCAGCCCCGGTTCTGCTGGTGTTCAGTCGTGGCCACAGG